ATTAATGAAAGGAAGGAAGCATTTTAAAGTTTTATTTCAGATGGATTATTAATATCAAAATGAGTCTATTAGCTAATATTAAATTTGATTTCTATTTCTGTTTCTATTATAAAACAGTTACTTCATCCCATGAATGTAATAGATTTTTATGAAATGGACACTCTATGCTATGCAAAGATTTAGGCCCTGAGAAAACAAAGATTATGGAATATGGTCTCTGCTTTCTAGAATAATACTTACAGTCAGAAGAGGTAAACGGTTTGTTCCCATGTAGTTCTAAAACAATCAAAAAAGGGAGACTATTTTCAGTAAAAAGGGGACTAAAAAAAAGAAGCAGGAATAGAAAGTGGGCAGGAGGAAATGGGGATAAGTAGGAACAAAGTATAGGGACACATACATATAAAAAGGCCATAATAGGTTGGATGTGGTGACACATGCCTCTAATCCTAGCACTTAGGTAGCAGAGACAAGCAGGGCTCTGTGAGTTCGAAGGCATACTTGCCTACTTAGTGAGTACCAGGCCAGGACAAGCAGGAATATGTAGCAAGATCCTGTTTGGTGAAGAAGAAAAAGAAGAAGAGGAGGAGGAAGAAGAGGACAATGAGGAGAAGGATGAGATGAGAAGGAGAAGGTGGAGGAAGAGGAAGAAAGAAAAACTGAAAGAAACAACAAAATGTCATAATAAGACCCATTACTCTGCATAAAAACTTTGAAACATTTTTAAGTCAGTAGAAGGTTAAACAGTATGAAGAAACCTACCTACTAAGACAAGTGGCAGAGCAATAACAGAAAAGCATACTTTTGGTGTGGCACTGGCCTGCTTGACATTCTGCATCTGTACCACACAGAATGGGTTCAATTTGTTTATCCTCTTTAAGCCTTTGTTTACTTACTTTAAAGGTGGTCCAGGGTCTGTGAAAGCCTGATATCATGAGTTTTATTCTTAAGACCTACGTGGTGGAACTGAATAACATAAGTTGACCTCTACACATATTCACACATACATAGGCACACACAAAAATAAATTTAATTTTAAAATTTGGTCAAATTTAGTTGTGTGTGCCTTCCTAGTAGCTTTGAAGAAGTTATTGTTGAAGTCAATACTAAAACATTTATAAATGCTTTGTTGTTAAAAGTATCATATAGGTACAGGCCCAGTGTGATAATGAATGCTTGTAATCCTAGTACTTCAGTGGCTGAGTCAGGAGGGTCTCAAGTTTGAGACCTGATTACACTATGTAATGAGACCCTGTCTCAAAGCTGAAGTAAGATCAAAACTCAACAAGTGAACAAAACCATTAATATACTTAATATAGAGTTACCGGAAATATATCACAGTATATTCAAAATAAAAATATAAATATATAGATTGTAGCTCAGCTGATAGACTGCTTCTCTAGCATACTCCAAACTTTTGGTTTTATCTCTAGCACTTCATAGACTGGGTGTGGTGGCACATGCTTATAATCAGAGTAACTGGAGAATAGACACAGGAGGATCAGAAGGTCAAGATCATTCACAGCACCATACAAGGTCAACGCCAGACTGGAATATATAGAATCCTGTCTTGAGGAAGAAAGAAGGAAGGAAGGAAGGAAGGAAGGAAGGAAGGAAGGAAGGAAGGAAGGAAGGAAGGAAGGAAGGAAGGAAGGAAAATGGATAAATACATGTAATATATATAAGATACATTTTGAATATCTGCACTTATAAGGACTTACAGGAACTCTAAGAATTTTATTTTTAGTTTCAGACATTTTTTTAAAAATTACATTTGTGTGTGTGTGTGTATGTGTGTGTGTGTGTGTGTGTGTCTGTGTGTATGTATACAACTTGTTGGCGTTAATCCTCTCCTTCCATCATGTAGGATCCCAGGGATAGAACTCAGGCTGTCAGGCGTGGTGGCAAGTACCTTAACCTGCTGAGTCATCTGACCAGCTCATGGAGTTTTTTATTTTATTTTATTTTATTTTACTTTATTTTATTTTATTTTATTTTATTTTATTTTATTTTATTTTATTTTATTTTATTATTTGTTTGTTCAGTTAGGTTTTTCAAAACAGGGTTTCTCTGTGTAGCTTGGCTGTCCTGGAACTATCTCTCTAGATGAGGCTGACCTCAAACTTATGAAGATCCACCTGCTTCTGCCTACCAAGTTCTGGGATTAAAGCCATGTGCCACCACCTCCCTGCAGAGTTTATTTTTATTACCATAAGGGGCCAGGATCTAATTTAAATTTATTTGACTCAAAGTCAAATATTCACTAGAACCAAAGTGCTTCTGGACTATGTCTGTCTGCCAACAAAGAATATTGTTGTTAGGAAATCATTTAGCTGTTTGTTTTTTTTTTTAATTTGTTTCTGATGTTGCCACTGTTTTGTTTGTTTGTTTGCTTGCTTGCTTGCTTTTATGTTTTGCTGATCTGTATTTTTGTTAAGACAGAGTCTTTCTAAGTAACCTAGGCTGGTATTCAACTATTGATCTTCTTGCTTTAGTCTCCAGAGTTTTAAAGGCATGTGTCCACACACTCCCTGAGTAGGCTGTTTTAAAACTATTTTTATTGTTCTGGATTTGCTGCATGAAAGAAAGCAGTTGAGTACAGGGGTGAAAGGCAGTGCTGACCCACTCACTGTTGATGGAACCCTCCCTCAGCAACCCTGGAGAGAGTGCCCCCACTCAGAGCCTCATTTGAAAGGAGCTCCCTGCTGTGCCTCCGACAGCAAAACAGAGAGCTGTGGACACCACCTGCTCTCAATAAATGTTGTTTCCCTCTAGGAACCTCTGAAACTTGGACTAACCAAGCCATTGATGTAGGTCTGAGGAAGGAAATGTACAAGATGAGCCTGGGACAACGTAACAGCAGGAAGGTCCCAAAGACTTCTAAGGCAGCTTCCAAAGGACTCTAGAACCAACTTGAAGAAACTTTCACAGAGCATTTAGGGAAATATGAGCTTAGATAAGAAAAATACTCAGGTGGTTGTTGTTACTGTTGTTTGAAATTTTTTGTTTCCTTTTGAGAGGAAGTCTTCTTGGGTAGGCCAGACTGGCCTCAAACTTGAACCCTTATTTCAACCTCCCTAGGGGTGCATTACTGTTTGGCTCTGAGCTTGTTGGAAAGAAGTATCCCTGTAACTGAATATAAATTGGGCTTATGTGAGGTCTGAGTTTCTAGATTTTTACTTTTAAAACTTTTACCTTTTTACTTTTACTTCTAAAGTGTGAACCAAAACTTCACAACTACTTCTGTTTTTGCAACACTGTGCCCTTAAGGTGTAAAGACAAGATTAGATTGTAAATCACTGGATTAATTTATTCATATATTTAACACCAGTCAGCATGTAGTTGTTTTTCTCTAAAAGGCCCAGTTTTCTTTTTTTTTTTTTTTTTTTTATTTTATTTTTCTTTTTAGTTACATTTTGTTAACTCTGTGTCTCAGCTGTATCCCGCTCCCTCATTCCCTCCCCAACCCCACACTCCCTCCCTGGTCTCCTCCCTGCCCCTTTCCAAGTCCCCTGATAGGGGAGGACCTCCTCTCCTTTCATCTGACCCTGTTTTATCAGGTATCTTCAGGGCTGGCTGCAAATATCTTCCTTCTTCACAAAGCTTTGTGGTCAATTAGTCTTTGATTTTTGCCAGTAATTCCGTTACTTGCCATCTGAGCAGGACTCTGGTTGAGATCTAACTCTGTATGCTTGTTTTCATGACATGTTGACCCCCAATATGCCCGAAGCTTAAATGAAATGCATGATCACACTTTTCTATCTGGCTGTGTTTTAATCTAGAACTGTGTAGCAGAAGCCGAGCCAAAGGAATACAGAACAAAATCTGTTTCCCTGGACGAGTTCAATAGTTTCTGTTTTGCAGGTATCCTGTAGCAGCTTTGAAAACACTAATCTTGAACCCTACTTCTCAGGGATTCTTAACAACTATCATTTTTATGATCATGCAAATCAGTCAGTGTGAGAATGCAGGTCAATGTAATAATTAAAGTTCACAGATCTAAGAACCCTTTACACTTTGTTTCTTTTTTTTTTTTAATTTTATTTTTCTTTTTAGTTACATTTTGTTAACTCTGTGTCCCAGCTGTATCCTGCTCCCTCATTCCCTCCCCAACCCCGCACTCCCTCCCTGGTCTCCTCCCTGCCCCTTTCCAAGTCTACTGATAGGGGAGGACCTCCTCCCCTTTCATTTGACCCTGTTTTATCAGGTACCTTCAGGGCTGGCTGCAAAGTCCTCCTAACAGACTGCAAAGTCCAGCCTAACAGACTGCTCCTCCCCTGGGGGGGGGGTGTCAAACAGCCTGCCCTTGAGATCCTGTTAGAAATAGTCCGTGTTCCCCTTACTTTGGAAAACTACTTGGTTACTGATCACTTTGTTTCTTAAAGACTCATTTTCAGTTCCTGAGAAAAGTATTTGCTTATGTTTCCTTAGCTGAAAGACTCCTATTGTGTTTTTACTGTAGAAGGACATTATGTTAACACAGTACCTCTCTAAATACAATGCTAATTCATTTGATTTGCTGCGACAAACTTATTGTTTCCAACTTTTTAAAGTTGCAATCTTCTCATAAAAATAGGGACTTTTGCTTCTACTTGACTTGTAGAATTAGCCACTTAGTTTTACTTAAAAAAACATTTTGTGTGGGATGAGGCCATTGGGGACAAGATTTTTTTTTTCCTGATTTTCAGTATTTCATAAACCCACCTTCACATTTTAATTGTACAACAATGAACTTATTCATTATGTGCATCACTCACTTTCTGCCTTTCCTTCCCAACTCATCCCAACTAATATTCTTCTGTCTTTTTTTTTCTTTTCTTTCTTTCTTTTTCTTTTTTGTAGTACTAGGTATGAAACTCAGGGTATAACAAATACCAGGCTGCCTCTACCATTTATGTTTACCAGCACCTGAGAACTGTTGATAGGTATTTTTATTTTACATATTATTTGGTTGCAATAAAAATAAGTAAGATGTGACTAGTAAAAATGCTTACACTGAATAATTAAATCAAAGAGTAGTTTATTAAAAAAAGATTCAAAACAGAAACTCTAAGTACCAGTGTGTACATTGTACACATTTAAATGACTCACAAGAATGAAGTTTTGTTGTTCATATATAGTAAGATCATACCACCTTGTTGTTCATCAAAAGATGTCCAAAAATTCTGCCTCAAAACCACATACATGACTGCCATTTTAAACAGACCAAATTTCAAACATGCAACAACGCCACTGGTAATAAAGCTTTGGAATGGGTGCTCACTCTATTATTTCACTACAAACAAGATAGAAAGCAAGGTAAATTGAGAATTTATTCTAAAGTATAATGCAGGTTGTCATCTTCAAAACCAGCACGCCTCACTCCTCTGCTGCCATTTTTAGCAAGTACTCTTTGTCAATCTTGAAGAGCCTCCATCCCTCTTCACTGGACAAATCCGAAGCACCTCTTCTTTTGTAGAAGTTGATGGATGGCTCATTCCACTCCGCCACCAAGAAGTGCATACTGCTGCAGCGACACTTCATGGCAACCTAGTACAAGCAGGAAAAAATATAAGCCCAGCAACATTTCACCCACTTGCCAAGACCCAATTTTGATTCATTTGTTACAATAACCCAGTGACTCTTACAAAGAATCCCAAATCTAGGACAGCTGGATGTATTGGGGCACAGCTATAATCCCAGCACTAGGCAGGTGAAGACAAGCTTGAGGCCAGCCAGGGCTACATAGTGAATACACTGGTATTCACTATGGGCTGTGCAGGGAAATGCTGGTGAACATACCTGGCTTAGATTCTTCAAAATTTCTGATCCTATACCAAAGCCTAAAAGAAAGAAAGATAGTTTAAGTTAGTAAGTCATTTGAAGGCCATAGAGCTGTGACTTCTCTTTAAGCTACCTTTAATCAATTCAACTGTACCTCTATAATCACTCATAACAAAGAAGTCTTCAAGATACAGTAACTTGCCAATCCATGGATCATAGGTAAAATAGTACATGGCGAAACCAACAATGTTGTGTCCTGTAATAAGAATATTCTGTGAGATACAAAGAAGAAAAACAACCCATTCATGCTGTATTGGCAGAATCAGAAGCCTATCGTAGACTTTACAAAGATTCATGCATCATAGGAACAAATAGCCAGACACCAGACTGTCCCATCATGTTTATGCTAGTACAGTCTAGACCAATGATGAACATACATGGTCTCAGACATGTAATTGCAAAAAGCATACATTTGAGACAGCTAAAGTTGGGCTACACCAGTGGACTGGCTAGTCTGCAGTCTCAGGAAGTGAGAACACTGTCATTACTTGCCAGAGCAAAAATACCATGGATTTAAACTAAACATGTTATTCATATCCTAATGACAAACTGTTATGTTGGCTTGGCAAAAGTTGGGTTTACACAGCAGTTTAGAAGAGGAAATACTTGTAGTTTACTAATGCTTGCTTCCTTAAGGTCAGAACACCAGGCCTGCAGTACAATGTTTACTTTCAGAACTTGCTGTCCCATGAATAAATTTTCAATTTACTTTCCCCAGTCTTTAAGGCAGGAGAAATAGCAGTCACTGGAAACAAGTGTTACATAACATACTTCTAAAACCTAACGCATTTCTTATGTGTTCAGATTATCTGCTAGGGTAAGGAACAGACATCAGAAGAACACTGAAGCACCCACCCAAACAACTTCCCCTTTAAGCTATCTTCTGATTAGTCAACAAGGGCCAGCAAAAAAAAAAAAAATACATAACTCAAAATAAAGATTATTAAAAATTGACTCCCTCATAAGGAGTGTCAGTCTGATACCAAATGGAGGCAATGGTTGTAAATTAGAAGCAGTGATTGCAACTTAAACTTTCTAGCCATTTTCTATTTCTTTGCAAACAGACAGGAAGCGAATATAAGTTTCTGATCTACCGTGTTTTAAGTGTGTGATAATAGGACCTTACCTCATTTATCATGATCATCTACTTTATTGTGTAAAGGATCTTTTAGTTACCTCCCCGCCCATCCATGTACACAGAAGGGTCATGTACATGGCGAAGCTAGAGACTGTAACCTGAAGATTGGGACAAATTAAAGAAAAAATGTGATTTAACACAATTACAAAAAAGGTTAGGTTAGGGTCAAACAAAAACCATTTTATGAAACGGAATTACAACAAATGACATTATACCTAACTTTTCTGGGTTTCTACAGCACTCTGATACTTGCTTAAACAGCGCTCTTAACCCGTCCTATTATAAAGTACAGTACATACATTTTTTTTCCTCAGTTATTTCCATACCGGCTGGGTGTTATTTCCAGCCAGCTTCTCAGTAACTTCTGCCCGTGTTGTCACTAGTTACGGTTTTTGCTCAGTGAACTCTAATCCTGTTCTCTCTGGTTTCTGGACAGGAAGAAGGACTTACCTTCGGGAGTCCAGTGCTCCTTAGGCACTTCCGCAACCAGGCAGTGGTAGAAGGGGTGCTCTCCAAAGCCATCCTCTAGGAGATCTGTAAGATGAGTGAGGCAGAAGCAGTGTTGACCTTAGGAGGTGCCAGGAAACAGCTTGTCCTCCCTGTGCCCCCCCTCCTCTGCCTCCACCCAGCATGGCTTCGTTACCTTTCTCGGTTAAAATTACTTGATCTTCCATGTATTCGTATTTAGCCAGTTCCTGGGGACGATACATGCAAAAGAAAGGACAATGAAACTCCTGTTCAGCCTGGCCAGCTCACAAGAGGGAAAATGGGGCAGGCGAGGTCGGGTGGTGACAGAACCCTGCCTGGCGCCAAACCCAGGCTGGAGTTGGCAGGCTAAGAAAAGGGAATTCACTGGCCGGGCAGAGTCTCAGAACTGAAGATGAATACTCACCAGGGAAATGGGGCCTCCTCCACCCTAGGGAGAGCTCTGGCTTTTCCCTACCTTGATCAGTCGAAGGATGTCACTGCAGTCGGAAGCAGTGGCTGGACGGATCTTAAATTTAGCCATTTTCGTCTTTTGCTTTTCTTCCCTTTGCGCACCAGGCCCCTGTACTTGAACAGCAGGAGGAGGTGGTTCTTCATTCGTCTCCCGGGAGCGTCCTCTTCTCAGTCAGGCTGGCACCATGACCCGGCGAACCGCAGCTAATGACGGAAAACTGGCAGATTTGCTCTGGGAAGCTGCGCAGCTAAGCAGTGGCAAGACCTTGCCTTTTAAATCTTCAGAAGCTCCTCCCTGGGACCGTGAGACGGAGAGATCACAACCAGTAAGGATGCAAGACCGCGGGAGCACCGCCTTCTTTTCCGGACTGCTCACTTCCCGGCTCTCTCGTGACTTGGATGGCGCAAACCCGGAGGGCGGGTCAGGGCGAGGTGCCCTGCTGTGTTCCCTAACCTCGCGTCCTCTAGCGGCGTCTTATGGACCCTTCCCGAAAACCTGTCCCCTAGTAAACTTTGGAAATAGAAAATGAGGATTGCCTCCGTGACCCCGAAATTGCCTAGAAAAGCGAACTCAGGAAACCCGTCTTTAGGGGGTGACAGAAAGATAAGGCCAGCTATTTTCAAAATGTGGTCCAGAGGCATAATTTTCCTTTTCCCCGTTGCTTGTAATTTTCCACAGGCAGCTCATTGATATGTGGTGATGTCATCGTTTTCATAACTAAAGGAATGTGTGTGTTTGCCTCTTTTTGTTTTGTTTTTGAGACAGGGTCTTTCTATGAAGTCTTGGCTATCGTGGAACTCTCTAGCCTAGAAGTCACAGATCACAGATCTGCCTGCCTCATTCTCTCCACTGCTAGGATTAAAGGCCATATACCACCACACACTGCTCTTTTATTTTCTAAGGACAGTTCTTAGGATTTCTCAATTTCTTTCCTTTTAGTTCAGTAGTTCGCAGCCAACCTGTGGGTCACAATCCCTTCAGGGTCCCATATCAGATATCCTGCATATTAGACATTTACATTATGATCCATAATAGTATAACAGTAGCAAAATTAGTAATGAAGGAGAAAGGAAATAATTTTATAGCTGGGGTTCACCACAACATGAGGAATTCTATTAAAGGGTGGCAACATTAGGAAAGTTGAGAACCATTGTTGAAGTCACTAGACTTAATGTTTTCCTTCCTTCCTTCCTTCCTTCCTTCCTTCCTTCCTTCCTTCCTTCCTTCCTTTCTTTCTTTCTTTCTTTCTTTCTTTCTTTCTTTCCTTTCTTTCTTTCTAGACAGGGTTTATCTCTGTAGTCTTGCCTGTCCTAGAATTCACTCCGTATACCAGGCTGGCCTGAAACTCAAAGGTCTCCCTACCTCTGCCTTCCAAGTGCTGGGATTAAAGGCATGTGCCACCACTGTCTGACAGTGCTTCCTTTCTCACTTCCCTTCTTAAATCTCTCTTCTTCCCTGTGGACTTTCTTTCTGACTGAGAGATATACTTTATAATTTCCTTTAAAGGAAGTTTGTTCGTTTGTTTGTTTTTAACTTCCCAGGTTTTGCTTATTGTGAATGTCATCTTGCATTTTTGAAGGATTTATTATAGATTTTGAGGTTTGTAAATTTTCTTTCAGCACACTGATATCTGACCATTCCTGGTTTCCTTTGCTGTTGAATGTTCCTACTTGCTCCAGTCCATGTGCTTTTTGTTTCCTTTAACTTTTTATTTTGCAGTAATTCTAGACATACTGAGTATGTGATGAATCATTACTTCACTGATTGAAAGAATTTGTGCCTGTTTTTTTTGTTTGTTTGTTTGTTTGTTTTTCTGTTGGTTTACTTTGTTTTGTTTTGTTTTGTTTTGTTTTGTTTTTTGAGACAGGGTTTTTCTGTGTAGCCTTGGCTGTCCTACACTAGCTGTGTAGACCAGATTCGCCTTGAACTCACAGAGAACCACCTGACTCTGCCTTCCGGAGTTCTGGGATTACAGGCATGTGCCACCGCACCTGGTTTATGCCTCTGTTTTATGTTTCTATCTTATTTTCAAAAATAAAATCCTTGAATTCACTAAATTTTAGATGTCCAGAGATCAAAATGTTTGGGAACATTTGGGTATCCCTATTCCTGGATCATACCCACTGGAACAAGTTAAGTATTTGAGTCTCTGGGGAATTACTTTTTTTTTTTTTTTTACTATGGACTTTCCTGAACAGACCCTGTTGAAGACTCTGTTTCCATAGCCTTGCCTTCCTTCTATAGTCAATCAGAGAATGTTTTTGTAATAAGATAAAACATCAGATTGTCTCCAGCAACCAGTCTGTACAATGAGGGGTTGGACTACTTCTAACATTTAGTACGTGACTTAGCCTTTATTAACTAGTAATATCCTGTTTGTAGAAATGAAACCAAAAAAGCATTTTCTGTTACCCATCCCACTCTCCCATGACTCAATGCATTAGTGAGTCACTGTGAGAGCTTATGCAATGTTTTTTTTTTTTTCCAAAGAGCTTTAAAAAAGCACCCAATTTACCCAAGTTACTGCCAGTGATATCTTTCTTAACAGGCTCTTCCCTCCTTTGTGTTAGTTGAGAATGCTAGAGCACTTAGAGTCGTTTGTTACATATTTACTGATAGCAATACATTAGATTTCTATGACTCAACACCAAGAGTACCATCCTCCTGAAACAAAACTCAAACCATTTTCTTTTTAGGTTACTTAGTGTTTCAGAATTCTGATTGAACCTAGCATTTGGCAAAATTTTATTTGGTTAATGAGTCAACATTTCAACTTGTTGAATCCTTGGGGATTATAAACGATCACCAAGTGTTTACAGCCAGCCCTACAAGTGCACAGTTAGCTTTTAGAAATGTGTTTGTAGTTTGCTATAACAGATTTGAATCTTTATGAGAAAGGAAATTCCTATCACAGAGACGGACAAAGAGGGAGAGTGAAAGGAAGAACAATAGCCAAAGTAGTGTGTTGTTCTTTGTCTCATTTCAAGGTTTCACAAAGTTCAATGCCCCAAAGATTTCTATGATATTCCATGTAGGTCAAGCCACCAGAATTCAGTTATTTGAAAATAGGTTGTCTTATGCCATCTTTTTTGTATTTGTTATGTGTTAGATTACATACAAAGTCATCACACACTCAGTTGTTTAAAGTAACACATATTTATTGTTGCAGAATGTATAGGTCAGGAGTCCAAACATGACTGCACTGAATTCTTTGTTACTTGTGTCAGCCAGGCTGCATGGAACAAGTCCATGTTCATGCCAATTACTGACCTTGACAGTATTCCTATCTCTCTGTCTCTGTGTCTGTATCTCTGTCTGTCTCTCTCTCCCTGTGTTTTTTTTTTTTTTTTTGTGTGTGTGTGTGTGTGTGTGTATGAATGTGAACACAGGTGCCTGAGAAATCCAGAAGAGGGCATTAGATACCCTCAACTCATTCTCAACTTGTTCTCAACTCATGGGTCTCAACCCCTTTGAGCGTATCATATTAGATACTTATATTACAATTCGTTAACAGTAGTAAAATTACAGTTATAAAGTAGGAGTGAAATAATTTTCTGGTTGGGGATCACCACAACATTAGGAACTGTGTTTACGTGTCATAGTATTAGGGAGGTTGGGAACACTGTCCTAGAGCTAGAGTTACAGGTGGTTGTGACCTGCCTGATTTGGGTGCTGGAACCAGAATTCAGGTTTTCTGTAAGAGCAGCAGGTACTATTTATTAACTTACTGGTTCATCTTTCCATACATGGCAACACTCATTTGTTGATTGCTGTCTTTGGCTTTTTGATGACTATTAGATGGAGGCTTCCCTAAGCTCTTCCAGGCTGCTTAGAGTTTCTGGAGTGTGCCTGTATTTCTTTACCGTGTGGTCTTACATAACATGGCCATTTATAAACCCACAAAGTCTCTGGAGTAGCTAGCAAGACAGTCAAAATATCTATTGGAGTACAAACACCTTACATAAAATTTGCAATCTTAAACTTTTTGAGTTTAGGTTTTGAGACAAGTTCTGTGACCTCAAACTCAGAGTCCTCCTGCCTCAGCCTCCCAAGTGTTGGGGTTTAAGTTATTAAACACTGTACTGGCCAGCCTTCCCTTAGTTAGTCAAAATTTATAATATAATAACAAATGTAACATTCCAGAACTATCCCATCTTGCAAAACTTAAACTCATTACCTTTCCACCCAGCTCCTGCTAGCCACATTCTACTTTTCATTTCCAAGTGTTTGAATTACTTCAAATAAATTATGTAAGTAGAATCACACAGAATTTATCTTCTGTTTGTTTGTTTGTTTGTTTGTTTGGCAACTGGCTTATTTTACTTAGCATAATGCTTGCAAAGTTCATCCCTATAGGTATTGGCGTGCAAATATTTTTCACTGCACAGATTGCCTTTTCATTCTTGAGTGTTTCTGTTCTTTGAAGTTTTGTAGTTTGCCGTATTGCTGTCTCTCTCTCTCTCTCTCTCTCTTTGCTTTTATCTGACACATTAGAGCCATACATAATGTGCCATAATTGTGAGAATGGCATCTTATTACCCATACCACACTGTACTAGTTAGAAGCAAGTTACATGTCCAAGCCACATGAAGGAGAGGGGTGCATACAAAGGAAGCAGAGTACCAGGAAGCAGAGTCACAAATCCACTGCTGAACACTGAGGCATGTTTTGAAAGGGCAGTAGAAGACTCATACTGAGTTAACTTACAGCTTGTACTTAATCAGTTCTATCAGTATGCTTGGAATATGATTTACATCTACCATCTGTTAATGCCATTACAAAGACAGAAACAGGACAAGGGATGTAGCTCATTGGTGTGAAGCTGTAGTCCAGGTCAGAGGCTAGAAAGATGGTTTAGACATTATAGTGTTTGCCTCACAAACATGAATACCAGAATTTGATCCTTAGCACATATGTTAAAAAAAAAATTCACAGGTAGCATTAACCTGTAATCTCAGTGCTGAAGACACAGGAAAATCCTCCAGCTTGCTATCCAGTTAGTCTAGCCCAATCAGTGAGCTCCAGATGCAATGAGAGACACTGACTGAAAACATAAGTTGGAGAGTGAGAGAGGAAGACATGTGACATCAACTTTTGCTGCAATCTCCCCCTCCACACACATACCCCACCAGCAGTGTAACTATGAGGTAAAGGTTGATGCAGCCCCGTCAGGTAAATATTGGTAACCATATAAACAGAGGGAGAGATATTACGTAAACACAGAAATACACTTGCATTTATTCCACAATGTAAGACAGTCAA